TGATGGATTAAGAAGCTGTTGTAAAAATTTCAGTAAAAAGAATGACTTCAGACCAATAAAAAATCATAAAAGTCTGCTAAAAATATAATATTTCATTAATTTATGGTTCATTGGTCATTTAAAAATAACTTAAAAATATAGTACACTTTAAAAAATCATGAAATTTGAAGCACAAGTAATAAATAATTGCTACTAGTTTTAGAGGCCAACTTGGTATTTGTGGGATTTCAAAGTTGGCAGTCCATTGGTATGAATAAGTTGGCAATTCATGGACCTCTTTAAGGGTAAGAATATTCTTTATCTTCTTAAGGAATAAATTTGTGCAAATTGGATGATATCTTTGTCATTCCAATATAATTAATAGTTTCATATGTAAGAAGTTACCGAGAATAACTTTGAATACTGTTGTTGCACATAAAATTAAAATCCTTTTTTCTCTCTCATGAATATCAAAATTGATGTAGCACGAAGATAAAGCAATGACCAATATTTACTTTACTACTTGGCAAGAGTGCAGGTGATTTTGAAGGCCTACTTGATAATTTGTGGGATTACAAAGTTGGCGGTCCATAATTGATGCAAGCACTAGTTAGAAAAGCCAAACAAGGAGAACAATGGGTAAACTATAACCAAACTCGATTCAAAATGTAGCAATCATCTATAACATCAAAAACCGACGGAAAAACGAGAAGAGAGATCAAAAGAAACAAACAAAAGAAATAAAAAATGACGTTATCCTCAGAACTACCGACAGAACGGTTTCCTCACATGCATTGAAATGTAGGCTAAGTAAAGTATGTGCTTAGGGCTAGCAAACCGATGGTCACCACGCAAGAAGGTCAAACGTCCAACCAAACTCCTCCAGCAAATGCTCCCAAATCAGCCAACAAACACCTCCAAAGCTCAAGAAGAAGGATATAATGGAGTGGAACTTGCGTAGAGAAGAAAGAGCTAAGAAGTCCAGACGAGATAGAGGAGAAGAAGAAGTGGACAAAGCTCTCAGCTTTTCCAAGAAGAAGAAACCCTCAGGTTTTTAAAGAGACAATGCTCAACAATTTTCAACAACCTTTCCCTCAAAAATCATCTTCTCTATATAAGCAAGAGGGGAACCAAACAGCCATAGCACCTCCAACTAAACCAATTAGATTTAGGAAAATGAATGCCAACAACCACATAACCTCAGTCCCAAACGGTACAGCAAACAGAGAAGGAAGCTCACGGGAACGAGCAGAAAAGCCACGGAACCGAGCAGCCAGCCGCAGAACAAGCAGCCAGCCGCAAGAACCAAAGGGGAAAAGCCACGGGAAAACCACCAGCACAGGAAACCAACAGCCAGCCACGAGAACCTAAGGGACAAGGCACGGGAAAATAGCCAGCACAAGAAAACAATAGACAAGGGGAGAAGAAGAGGCAAGACCACTCCAAAATGAATCCAAGACTTAAGAGCATACCTTTTTAGATTATGAGCTAGGTAGTTTAATAAATCTCCAATAATGAACTAACTTCAGCTCACATTAATGAGCTAGCATTTTAGAGAGAAAAGCTCAACTAAAATAAACCACCACCTCCCAACATCAACATAAGCTCAAACCGAGAACCATGAGCCAACCGAGAACTAGTAGCGCCCAAAGGACCAATCAAGCTAGCATACTAAAGGTCTACCAAGCCCAAGCACAACCTACCATGATCATTGGATGCCTTCCATCATTGGATATCTAAAAAAATATAAAAAACTAAATAATACTAATGTTCAATATTAGAAATAAAATATAGAAATTATGATTGATCAATAATTTATGGACAAGTTAGCAATTCGTGGACTTCCTTAAAGGCAAAATCTCTCTCATATTCCAGTGAAATAATTGTTTACAATAATAGAATATCTTCATTAGTTTTAATGCAATTGGTAGTTTTTATATGTAGCAGTTACCAAGATAAAGAGAAAATCCTACTATATAATAGATGGCAAGACTCCCAATAAAATACAAAAAATGATTTTTGGTTGCAATTTTTTTATTAATTAAAATAAATCTAAAGATTAAGAAATATATCACAAATTCATTACACTTAAGATCAATAACTATAAGTCCCAAACTCTACAATTGGAAACATAAGTATAATTAATTAGCTATAGTAAACATGTTTCATCTGATTTATGTAAAAATATAATTTATAATAAGTAAGACATATTTTTTTTTTGTTTAAAATCATCAAGTTTTAATAACATTTTCATCATCCTTAATTTTTTAGTTAATCAAACTCAATCAAGTACAATGAAAAACACCTATAAACACTAAACTAAACTTCTTGGAATCTTCATTTGCACCATTTATTCTTCATGTTGTGGGATCCTAAGCTTACTTCAAGCCGCACAAGCTTGAAATAAGCTTAGTGACACACACACCATCTCCATGATTGCTTCTTAATTAATGAGCCTCTCAAATACGTAGCAAATTATTAGATGTCACAACATAATGATTAACCAATCATAACATAATTGATGGAATTCATAAACTCATGGGTGAATAGTCTCCTCTTATTTGATAAAAGCATGCTGATGTTGGTGCGGGGGAAAGGTCATAAAAATATAAAAGTAAGCTATCCCTTATAACAACAAAACACAACATCAAGCCTTTATCCACTACGTGGGTCGGCTACATGAATCCTTTTTCTCCATTGTGTCCTATTAAAAGTCAAATTCTCGTTTAAATCTAATAAAGAAAGGTCATTCTAATATTTTCTAGCCAAGTCTTTTTGGTCTACCCTACCTTTCTTAACATAAGTCAAATCTATACCTCTACTCTCCTAACCGGGTCATCAGAAGGCACCGTTTATGTGACCAAACATCTAAGGCGACTCTCTCTAATCTTATCTTCTACTGGAGCTACTCCAACCTTTTCACGTATATTCTCATTCGTATCTTATCTCTAAGGGTAAAGCACTCATCCACCTGAGCATCCTCATCTCTGCCACACTTAACTTAGTATTATGCTTCTCTTTTAATGGCCAACATTCGGCACCATAAAGCATTGCAGGCCTCACTACCATCTTATAGAATTTTCCCTTAAGTTTGATGGTAATTTCTCACATAACAAGCCCGATGCATTCCTCCACTTCAACCATCCAACTTGAATTCTGCTGATAATTCCCCGTCTATTTCACCATCACTCTGAACAATAGATCCAAGATATCTAAACGTGTACTCTTATTAATGACTTGATTGCCCAAAGTCCAATCCCCTCACTAGTCTATTCACTAAAATTACACTCCATATATTCCGTTTTAGATCTACTCAAGCGAAAACCTTTAGACTCTAAGATTGACCTCCATAATTCAAGTTTACCTTCAACTCTCTCTCTAGTCTTATCAACAAGAAGAATATCATCAGCAAAAAGCATACACCAAGGTACATCCTCTTGCAAATGTATATGGGCTTAAGGCTGATCCTTGATGTAACCCAACCGAAATAGGGAAATACTTGGTCCGTCCACCTTGTGTTTGAACACAAGTAATAGCTCCTGCATACATATCTTTAATGATTTGAATATAAGCATTATTGACTCTCTTTCTTTTCAAGAACTCTCCATAGCACTTCTCTTGGAATTTTATCATATGCTTTTTCTAAATCAATAAATATCATATGTGATCCTCCTTATTTTCTCTATATTTCTCTATCAAACCTCTTATAAATGTATGGCTTCCATAGTCAACCTACCCGGCATGAATCCAAATTGATTTTGAGAAACATAGTATCATGCCGCAACCTATGCTCCATAACTCGCTCCCATAGTTTTGAAGTATGACACATTAACTTAATACCTCTATAATTCGCACAATATTGTGCATCATCTTTATTCTTAAAAAGTAGATCGAATTAACACACTCATTCTCCACTCATCTGGCATCTTTTTAGTCTTCAAAATAGTATTAAAAAGTTTAGTAAGCCATGAAATTCCTTCATCTCCTAAGCATTTCCACACTTCTATTGGAATATCATCAGGTCCAACAGCTTTTCCACCCTTCATTTTCTTTAAAGCCTCTCTAACTTCAGTTTTACTAATACGCCGATAAAAACATAAATCTTTATTTTCATTTAGGGTGCTAAGGTCCCTCATAAGATGCATAAAACACATGTAAATATTTTCTAAACACATGCACCATCCCGTTTCATACATGATATTAAATAATATTTTTTCTCTTTTTAGTTAGTCATGGTCGTATCAAAATTTATTGAGAAAATCATCGAAATGGTCCCTTGACTCTTTATGAAGGATCAAATAATCCCAAACTATATTAAATGATTATTTTGGTCCCTCAACTTTTTAAAGAGGAACTAAAATAGTTCCACCATGAGACTATTTTATTTTCTCTTTAAATACTCGAGGGATCAAATGATCCTTTAATATAGTTTGGAGCCATTTTGGTCATTCATAAATGGACCATTTTGATTTTTTTCTCAATGTTTACTAGGTGCAAAAACCTCTTAAGTAAACTGGTAAATATCATTAATATATTTATAATTGTGAAAAAACCCTAGATCCAAGCAACATCATTTTGCGTACCATTTACCTTCAATGTACACAACTTTTAGGTTTTATGTTGATACTTCATCTCTTATTTATTGCTTTTTCCTGTGTTTTCAAAATTCGAATTGCGTTGGTAGCATTCTTCCACAATGAGTAACTGATTTAGAAGATTGTATCAGCCTGAAGTAATGACATACAATCTTTTAAAATTTCTTTTGATATCTGAACTTCACATGAAAATATTTGCCTGCATCTTCTGTCTTCTCTAGTATTCACTTATGATGCACAAGGCATGCTTTTCTCAAGGATAACTTAATCGTGTTCCTGTGGAAGGTTATTACGAATCAAACTCGCATTTTTCCATTGTAATTCTGTTTTGGGGACATAAATCAACTGCTTCAATTACTTGGTTTTATGTGTTAGTTTCAACTTTTAACCAACATTTTTTTCAATCCATTTGGAATGGCATGGTAGAGCTGGGAGAAAACTATAGACTGCCATAGTCCAGGCCAAGGACTAATGCCAGCTAGCTTCAAAGTTCGGACAGTTCCACTGGATGGTGATGATTCAGCAACTGAGGAGGTGCTGGATCCAGACTTTGGAGAGGCTGCAATAGGTCGTGTTGCTCCAGTTGATTCAGGTAAGATGTTTTAGCAATCAAAGTTTATTCTCCCTTCTTTGTTCTTTTTTACTTCGTGGTCTTCTATCTGAAGAACATCTCTTTTTCACATTTTAGCTAATCTTTTGGCCTTTTATTTATTCATCAGGAAACCAGGACTAATTTCTCTGTTGTCACTTATAAGAGATCTTTGTATTCTTTTTTCCATGTATGGGCTGAAAGTCTTCATTTGACTGCCTTTATTTGCAGGATTATGGTGGATTATATTGCTAAGAGCATATGGAAAATGTTCTGGGGATCTTTCGGTTCAAGAGAGAATTGATGTTCAGACAGGAATTAAGATGATTCTAAAACTTTGTCTTTCTGATGGCTTTGACATGTTTCCTACATTACTGGTGACAGATGGTTCATGCATGATAGACAGACGCATGGGAATTCATGGCCATCCCCTTGAAATTCAGGTAAATTTGTATATATTTGAAGCGACGAGCCTTTGTTTCCATACGTTATTCAATCTGTTATTGAATACATGTTTTTGGAATCTCATGACTTTGCACATAAGCCTGATTAACACGGAGCTTATACCCCTAAATTATTAATTGATTCTTTTAGGAAATCATGCAGCATTTCTAAACTTAGTAAGAACTTCCAATTTCCTACATTAAACTTCAACATTCCACTTGTGGTCTGAATTCAGAAGTAGGCGGAAGTAACCTCTTTTAAATCAGGATGGATGGGTTTGAGGCTTTGTCTAATGGTGCTTATGTGGCAAGAGATTGGGATTTGGCTATTTAACCTTTTGTTTATGTTGAGTATAGATGGAAGAAGGAAGTATGAACTTGGATTTTTTGGTTGAGCTTAGGGGGTGTAAATGAGTCAAGTCGAGTTGAGTATCTTTTTAATCGAGCTTATCATGTTTAGTTCTTACTGAGCTCGAGCTTGAGCTCTAGCTCGGCTCGAGCTCGCTGGAGCTAGTTTGGAAAGCTCGAGCTTGACTCGATTTTGGAGCTTGATTTTTTAGTTTTAAATTAAAATTTTCAAATTTTTTTAGATTTTTTATTTTTACCATAGAATTAAATTAATAATATTAAAATTTATGATATTATGTTAATTTTAATTAATTTGTAAATATATTTTAAATTAATCGAGCGGCACAACGAGCTTTCAAGGCGAGCCAGCTCGAGCTCGAGCTCGAGAGTATAGGCTTGAACTCGAACTTATGGCATGATAAGTTTGACTCGTGAGTTCGTTAACAAGTCAAGTTCGAGCCGACTCGACTCACTTACACCCCTAGTAGAGCTTATAATGTAGAAGAGAGAGCAGGTTTGAAGCGCTAGAGAGGGTGAGTGTTTGAGTAGTCAAACAGAGGTAATGGTTTGATACTAGTAGGGTTGCAGGGAGTGTTAGAACTAAGATTTCAACGTCATTTGGAATTTGGGTGATTAGAGCAATCATGTGGGAGAATGAGAGCATTTAAAGAGCCTAAGATTAGGATTGAGACTTGGTCTCTTGATGGGGAATATTGAGAGCAGCCCAGAGGATTTGAAACTTGACAACATTCCATGTTTTATGTTTGTGTAGGGATTGGAGGGAGGTAGGAGTGGCAAAAACCATAATTAAGATCACATTCCATTCAAATTTTCTATGAAGTTTGAATGGGAGTGGCAAGAACCATAATTAAGATCTCATTCCATTTAATTTTTATGATTATCCAAATTTCAAAGAATGCTTGATGTATATAGGGGTTTAAATGAGATAAGCTAAAGTAATCTTAAGTGTTGTTTGACTTGACTTATTAAACATTATAAATAATATCCTATTTTTAATAGCTATGCTGTTTGACTTAGCCACTTGATCTGTGTTTCAATGTTTGAAATCTCTTAATTACTCTGTTGCACATAACAGAATAAAACCTGTTTTTATAACTGAAATGAATTGGTTTGCTTTTGCAGGCACTTTTTTATTCAGCACTCTTATGTGCCCGTGAGATGCTTGCTCCTGAAGATGGATCAGCAGATCTGCTCCGAGCATTGAATAACCGGCTGATAGCATTATCTTTCCATATCAGGGAATACTATTGGGTAGATATGAAAAAATTAAACGAGATCTACCGTTATAAGACGGAGGAATATTCTTATGATGCAGTTAACAAGTTCAACATTTATCCTGACCAGATCCCTCCTTGGCTGGTGGAATGGATGCCCGATATAGGGGGTTACTTGATTGGAAATTTGCAACCTGCTCACATGGATTTCCGTTTCTTTTCATTAGGAAATTTGTGGTCCATTGTAAGCAGTTTAGCGACGACACAACAATCACATGCCATTTTGGATCTCATAGAGGCCAAGTGGTCTGACTTAGTGGCAGATATGCCTTTAAAGATATGTTATCCAGCTCTTGATGGGCAGGAATGGAGAATCATCACAGGCAGTGATCCTAAGAACACGTAAAGTGCTTTTCCTCATAATTCAATTATTCCTACGTTTTTTCAGCTTTTCATGATCCCTTATATAATGGTGCAGGCCATGGTCTTATCACAATGGTGGGTCTTGGCCAACCTTGTTATGGCAGGTCTCTTTCTCTTCTTTATTTTATTTTTGTCCCAAATAGTTTTCTGTAATCTTAGATTAAATTTCTCCTAGTTTTTAATGCTTTCATAGATTCAATTATAAGTTATCGCATACTGTATTTCAGTTTCAATTAATGAGTTGACTGCTCTTTATAGAGGCCCCTGTAGTCTTGAATGTGCTTTCGCACATGGTAAAATTTGAAATTTTAGTTGAATTATAGGTGGGATGGGGGGCATGTGCATGCCTATCATTATCCAAGACATGGATATTGGTTTAGTTTTTGGACAAGTATATAGCTAAAATGTTGATTTTGTTCTTTTACATTGGATGTTTCTAAATATGTGCATATCACTGTTTTGGTTCTGGCCGAACCGTCCAAACCGGCCCAGGTGGGGCCGGTTAATACCTATAGGAGACGGGCCAAGCCGCCTCCTTTGGCCGCCCAATCATGTGGCCCCCCCAAGGGAGGCAAGAAGAGAGGGAAGGGGCATAAGGAAACTATTTGAATTAATGTTTGTTTTAGGAAGTCTTTTATTATTTTTTATTAAGAATATATGTATTAAAAGAGGAGAGGAGGCTAGGGTTGCATTCATGATTTGAGTTATTTTCTTGGAGTTCTCTTAGGGTTTTGGGCTCTAGATTCATCGTCTAGAGATTGGGAGGGAACGATCCTCCTCTTGAATTGAGGATTAATTGTATCTTTATTTTTCTTTTGCTTTACTTCGATTTCCATAATGAAATCTACTGTTTTGGGTTGATTTTGTTCAACTTGTGTGTTTTCTTGCTGATTTCACCAATATTCGTTAGGGTTGCTTGCGAACTCAAGTAAATCCGATAGGATTACTTGCGAACTCAAGTAAATCCGATAGGATTACTTGCGAACTCAAATATTTTCTATCAATCACATGCTAAAATTAGTAACTAGATAGTTGAAAGATTTCTGTAATATTGTCAACATTTATTCATCTTCGTATATGGAAAGGTTATGAAAAAAAGGGTAGACTGAAATGGCTAGAAGATGTGTAAAAAGAATCATGCTGAAGACAGTTTATATCTCATATAAACAAGCACTTATTGGAATGAATTGAAAATCATTCATAATACTGAATCGAAGAAATCTAGTTTAGATTAATGATAATGATGACTATAAGCCTTAAGCTAGTGAGTTCTTTGTTCCATGTTCCTTCTAATTTTGCTGAAGCCCTTAGCTTTCATCTGCAGCTCACTATAGCATGCATAAAGATGAATAGGCTGGAACTCGCTGCAAGAGCTGTGGAGGTTGCTGAGAGGCGTCTTTCCATAGATAAGTGGCCTGAATATTATGATACAAAGAGCGGTCGATTCATCGGAAAGCAATCTCGTCTGTACCAAACCTGGTCCATTGCTGGTTTTCTCGTTGCAAAGCAGTTACTGGCTAAGCCAGATGCTGCTAAGATCCTATGGAATGAAGAGGATGCAGAAATAATCAGCGCCTTCAATTTCATGACCGATTCCGGCAGTCCTAGGAGAAAAAGAGGGAGGAAGCCATTAAAGAAAACCTATATAGTTTAATCAAATGACATGCATATATTAACACGAGATGAATGGTGCAGCGGCCAACAGTTTTCTTACATCAGTCTATTAAATGTGGATGGCTTCGTTCGTTTGTTTGTGATATTCTGTACCTATAATTCCATATTAACTTGTTTTTCCAGCTCCGTTTGTTTACAGGTATGAATTTTAGCTGTTAATTTATTTCCATATATCATTCAGAAGTGGGAAATTTGTGGAAGACCTTCTCGGTAAATATCTTTTTCAGTTATTTTTCTTTTTTATTTTATTTTCTTTTCCAAGGCTGGAGGCCGACAGAACCTCTTTTATATATATGTATATATATAAATGTAATTCGTTTAATCTTGTATTTATCAAATTGTATTTGACCGTTGGAACACTTTTGAGGGTGATTAATTTTTCTTTTCCGTAACTAATGTAATTTAGTACGATGACGATGATAGTTTGGACCTGCAATCATCTCTGGTACAGGATGGTGTAAAGGACAAATGGAAGATGCGACACAAGCCCAGGAAAGTAAGAATCAGTCTTCAATTCTTCTCACTCTTTAAAATTTGATAAATATTCGTTGATTGAATATTTTGCTGTAATTATTTGATTTGTTTCTATTCATTTTTAATTCCAGATGTGGACTTATTCATTAAAACCCACTTGGATTCGTTTCTCATGTCTGCAATTGGTATTACATTGGAATTGAATCAAATTTAGATAAATTTTATTGATTGTCATTATTTTGTAATTGCTAGCAAATACTGCTCATTTGTGATTTTCTTTATGATGGATGCAAATTATTAGGCATAAACTAAACATTGGATCTATTTTTATTTCGTTTTTCATTTTCTCCTTGCAATTCCTTAGAACCAAATGAAGCCTAAGGGTTTAGAAAATCGAAAAGGGTTGTGGAACGTTGAGAAGCACGCTAATCTGAACTGGGATTTAAATTATTATTTATGGATGTGTTGACAATCATCGAACACTTATAAACTGAAACATAGAAAAACAGATAAAATAAAGATGGGATGAAAAAGGGGAAAAATGAAGAAAATGAAACATTCAGACATTATGTTGACGGTTGAATCTCAGTCTCTCGTTCCAAAGAGAATTCCACGGCTATGAATAGTAATCCGTGGTAAGACTACCAGGATCACATTAATTCCTTCCAGAATTAGACTGCTGATTTAGGAAGGATTGTATTAATCATTATTCTGCAATTATTTAGAGTTATTTGTTTCTTTATCAATACATCTTATATAGATCTATAAATAGGGAGTAGATTGCATAATAAAATTCGTTTTTCTTCTCAAACCTCTGATTTGTAACATGGTATCAGAGCTGAAATAATTGAAGAAGAGGTATTCTTTGCCGTTAAAAGAACGATCGTAGATCGTCGGAGGAGGAAAAGAAGAAGAAATCAGAACCTGACGGAGCTTGGTGAACTAATGACAGATGGAAGCTGTGACAGAAGCCACAAGCCGCAGACGAAGCCTTACCAGAGACGGAGCCGAAGCCCCGATCCAAACTTCCGATCCGACAGGAAGGTTAAGTCGTCGAAGGAGGATAGTCGAACAACCATGAATGAGCCGAAGGAGCAAAACTTCCGATCCGAGAGGAAGGTCAAGTTGTCGAAGGTAGATAGTCGAACAACCACGAATGAGCCGAAGGAGCGACCGAAGCTGAATGAGACTCAGAGGAGCCCGACCCCGTGCCCTAGTCCTGATTCGAGCCTTGAAACCGAGCCTTTTTCAAGGCTCGATTGATTTGGTTTATTAAACCAGGAAAGAAAACAAAATCTTTCTTAGTAAAAAAAAAGTAAGAGGAGAAAATCTTTATCATCGACCTTTATTGTCGAACAAGAATTTTTTTTTTGGGAAGCCTTCATTGCTTCTCAAAATCATACAGATAGTCTTAATCACTATCATAATGTCACTGAGGAGTCGATGGTGCATCAAGGACGAGGTGACCTCAAAAGCATGCAATCTTCCTATCGTCTAAATAGGAAGAACTACCTAAAGTGGTCTTAATTTGTGAAGACTTACTTGAAAGGGTAAGGGAAAATACACCACCTTCTTGGAGGAGGATCAAAAGGAGATCCTAAATTCGGGCCATGGGATGAAGCAGACTCCATGATTATGTCATGGTTGTGGAATTCCATGACTTCAGAAATTAGTGACACATTTATGTTCCTTTCCACTGCAAAGGACATATGAGATGCTGCCAGACAGGCCTTCTCCAAAGCTCGTGATGCGGCTCAAATCTTTGAAATTAAAGTCAAAGTTGGAAGCACAAAACAAGGGAGTAAGACCGTGATGGAGTATGCCACCCTTCTACAAAATCTGTGGCAAGAACTTGATCATTATAGATGCATAGAGACTAGATGTCCTGAAGATGTTGCGACCTTAAAGAACTTTATTGAAAAAGATAGAGTTTATGATTTTCTTGCAGGGCTAAATACAGAATTTGATCAGGTTAGAGTCCACATCCTCGGCAAAGATGAGACACCTTCACTCAATGAAACCATTTCTCTCATCCGCACGGAAAAAAGCCGACGAGGAGTGATGTTAGAACCAAAGGTCGTTGAGAGCTCAGCAATGGTGATGAACAAATAATCTAAATGGAAAGAGAAGTGTAAAGATTCTTCAAAATTCAAAGACAAGGACTCACTTTGGTGTAGTTATTGCGAAAAATCAAGACGCACAAAGGAAACATGCTGGAAAATACATGAAAAACACCCCAGTAGGAGTGGAATCAAAGAACCGAAACAAGAGGCACATCGCATGCCAACAACATTACAAGTCAGCCCAACCCAGAAGCACAGTCCGGCCTTGGAGAACTCAATAAAGAAGATATTGATAATCTGAAACGACTCCTGGTATCCCTTGAAAAATCAAATGCATCTTCCTCACTTACACTCTCAGGTAAGTTTTCAATTTCTATTAGTTTAAGTTCATCTAGGAATCATTTAAAAGAATTATGGATCATTGACTTAGGAGCCATAGATCATATGACCCACTCACCTAGCCACTTCATCAATTATACTCCTTGCCCAAGCAACAAGAAAATCATCATTGTTGATGGTTCTCTTACCATAGTAGCAGGCCAAGGAGACAATATTATCTCCCTTACTCGCCCTAAAAAATGTGCTTTACATACCTCAATTATTCACAAACCTAATTTCAATATAAAAACTTACCAATGATCATAATTGTTAAGCTTTATTTAACCCAACCTATTGCTTATTTCAGGACCAGAGGTCGAGGAAGAAGATTGGACTTGCTAAGGAGAAAACTGGATTGTACTACTTGGAATAACTAACCAATCTAAAAATAGCAGCTTTATGTTATCCCTAGTTGATAAGAATTCAACTATTTGGCTTCATCATTATAGGTTATGACACCTATCTTTTGATGTCCTAAGACATATCTATATACAATTTTTTCAGAAATTAAAAAATAAACATTTTCATTGTGAAACTTGTGAGTTAGCCAAACATAAAATAACTTCCTTCTGAAACAAAAATGAGAGATGTGATACTCCTTTTTACATTATTCACAGTGATATATGGGGACCCTAAAAAATCCCCAATATCTCTGGTGCTTGATGGTTTGTATCATTCATTGATGATTGCACTAGAGTCTCTTGGATCTATCTCCTCAAAAATAAATCCGATGTTAGCACCTTTCTTCCCATTTTTCATACCATGATCAAAAATCAATTCGGGGTGAAAATAAGGAGATTTTGCGCCGATAATGCAAAAGACTAATTCAACCAAACCCTTTCCTCCTACTTCCAAAGTGAAGGGATCATCCACGAGTTCTCCTGTGTTCACACCCCACAACAAAATGAGGTTGCAAAGAGAAAAAATGGTCACCTTCTAGCATCCACTCGAGCTTTTCTATTCCACTACAATAAACCCAAATTCTATTGGGGGGAAGCTCTTCTAACTGCAACTTATCTCATAAACCTACTACCTTCAACAGCCCTTGGACTCAAAACTCCGATGGAAATTTTGTCCTCATTTTACCCCGAATTTTGAACCCATCATAACCTTACACCAAAAATCTTTGGGTGCATCACATACGTTCATATTCACAGCCAAAATCGAGGAAAATTAGATCCAAGAGCACTCAAATGCATCTTTATTGGCTACTCAGCTACCCAAAAAGGTTACAAGTGCTATCATCCTCCTACAAAAAAACCATCGTCTTTGTTGACGTTACCTTTGATGAACAAAATTCCTATTTTCTCAAGCCTCATCTTTAGAGGGAGACTGAACTTGAGGAAGATGAGGAAAATGAACTAACCTCTCTTGACCTTCCTCCACCACCTCAAACCAATCCACCTGAAAAACATGATAGAGAAATTAAAGACAAAGCTGTCATTAGATTTGAAAATGTATACTCCAGGCGTATAAATTCAGGTTATACTCCAAAGCAGATCCAAGAATCTGAACCATCTCCTGGAAATAAGATAAGCTCACCACCTCCCTTATACCCTATAACCAACTCTATATCCTTCAACAACTTCTCATCCTCACACAAAAATTTCTTGGTTAAACTATAAGATATCCATATTTCTAAAGATATTTCTTAGGCATTATCTGATAAAAATTGGAGAAATGCCATGATAGATGAAATGCATGCTCTAGAGAAGAACAATACATGGGAGATCATCAATCTACCGACAGGGAAAAAATCGGTTGGATGTAAATGAGTATTCTCTGTAAAGTACAAAGCTGATGACATGCTAGAAAGATATAAGACGACTAGTGGTAAAAGGGTACATTCAAACATATGGCATTGACTATCAAGAAACCTTGCACCTGTAGCCAAGATGAACACTGTCAGAATACTACTCTCCCTAGCAGCCAAGTACAACTGGCATCTGTAATAATTGGATGTGAAAAATGCATTCCTATATAGGGATATGGAGAAAGAGATATTTATGAAAATACCACTAGGGTTTAAGGAAAAATCTGAAGGTAACAAGGTGTGCAGATTAAAAAAGGCTCTATATGGGCTCAAACAATTACCAAGGGCCTGGTTTGAAAGATTATCAAAATTCATGCTTCTTAATAGATATAAACAAAGTCAAAGATATCATACATTATTCTTTAAACACTCAGACTCAGGAGGAGTCACAATACTATTAGTATATGTGGACAATATTATTTTGACTAGAAATAATGAAGAGGAGAAAGTTAGGTTGAGGAAAAGTCTTACTAAGGAATTTGACATCAAAGAACTGAGTAGACTAAAATACTTTCTTGGAATTGAAGTAGCTCACTCCAGCAAATGAATCTTCATCTCACAATAGAAATACATCAATGATCTTCTAAAAGAAACAGGTAAACTAGCTTGTAAATTAGCACCGACACCAGTAGAACCTAATCTTAAACTTGGGGAAGTTGGAGAATATCCAGATGTAGATAAAGGGGCCTACCAGAGACTTGTAGGAAAATTGATCTACCTTTCCCACATTAGACTAGATATAATATTTGCTGTAAGCATGGTCAGTCAGTTTATGCAGAATCCAAAACAGGTTCACATGCAAGCGGTAGATAGGATATTGCACTACCTTAAAGAAAACCCAGGAAAAGGGATTCTCTTTAAGAGAGATCGTGGATTAATCCTAGAAGTAGACATGGATGCTGACTATGCGGGATCACCAGTAGATGGAAGATTTACCTCTGGATACTGCTCATTTCTTGGAGGGAACCTAGTTACATGGA